TGAATATATGAATATCTGTCTCCTATGTATATGTATGTAAATTGTTTCATTGCAGGGCTTGTGTAACTCGGAATTCTTGCACCCCAAATCGAGAGGGCCGTTTCTTCCTATTTGTCGCTCAAGTTATTGTTGGTGATGTCGAAAAAGGATCGCCAGAACTTACTCGCCCTCCATTCAACGCAGCCACGAACACTCTGTATGACACTACTGTAGATGATGTGCACAACACAACCATTTTTGTCAAGTATGACAAAGAAGATTATTATCCTGAATATCTTGTAGAATTTTTCTAACTTTTTGATTCACAATTTATTACAAGGAAACAATATAAGTAATGGGAGAATGACTAACGTGAAAGTCGGTCACAATTTCTAATATTTTTTTATTCAAGATGTACGAAGAGTTTTTTTATGATTATAACACAAAAGTAGGTTTATTTGATATAAAATGGTCTACTAAAAAGAAAGTCTTGTAAGAAATCTTCCTAGAATGACCGCAAGAGCCAGCGCCACAATTGTACAGTTTAATGTTACTTGATCTAAAGTAGCCTACGAAAGATACAGAAAATAAAAAAAAAGTAATAAGCATTTTGATATTAATAGATTAACAATATTTCCAAAGTCTTGTACTAATGTTATAATAAATGGCATTCATATGTTATTTACATATCACATACTTTAATAATTTTCAGTTGAATGTGTCACCACTTGCAGAGTAGTTACTTTATCTACAGTTGGATACCAAAAGTACAGATGATTTCTAGAAAAAGTAAAAGGCAAACATTGATGTCAGTACATTAACAATATTTCCTTTATTGTAACAAACCACTACTCCCGCATGACATACATGTGTTATTTCTATATCATACATTTCTGATACATAATTTTCAATTTTCAATGCATTATAGTTTTCATCCTTGGATGAAAACTACATTATTGGGTGATTTTTTTTTTTTTTTTTTTTTTTTTTTTTGAGAATATCACCTAGAACCTAAAGATATTTAAAATGAAGAGGGTAATGGAAATAACTATTTCTTACATGCCTCTATGTTAGTGATTTTGAATATGATTGAAAATCACGGAAATGAGAATGTCGCTTCCTTAAAAGACATAAACTATTTCCCCTTGCAAACTCCACATTTTCCCGTTCTAAAGATATGGAGTAATTTCTCTACTGTCAGCAATGTCCTAGACAAATCGTCCGAAAATTATTTCTGGCATTTTGATAAAATCATGTTCATAATCCAGTATTTACTCCACTGTTCGCTGACATGAGACGCAATTAGTTACAATTTTAAGTTTGAATGTCTAGTTTTTAATTTTCAGTTTTCAGTCTCTTTTATTTGCTGATACTACCATTATGATATATCAACGAGAAAGAGGTTGATACTACCATTATGACACATTAACGAAAATGAGGTTGTGAGGATCGCGTGCAACCAGATGTGAAGGGACGCTGCCATCACCTGATGTGAACGAGGCGGATGGTCTTTAGAGCGGGCAAGGAAAGGTGTCTTGACTGGTTTTATTGCAGGTATGACTCGGAACAGTGTTGTCCAAACATTTCCGCCTAGTGAACCCTTTATTACCTTCTTGTACTGTTATGTACCCCCCTCCCCGTCCACTAAGGCTAAACAAATTGTTTTAATTAGGATAATGCAAATAATATACTAATTATGAAAATACTGCATTGCAGGAGTGTTGGTCAATAAATTCGAATTTAATACACAAATAAAAAAGATGATTTAATAAGAAAATGCTTGAAAAATACACAATTTGTGAGATGTGAGGCGTGTGTGTTCCTTGTTTGTTCACGTACCACTATTATCTATGTTGCGGACCCCAGTTTGGACAACACTGACTCAAAGGACCATAGATATTACCCGCCTATGAGAATTCAGTGGAAATTGAATCCTAAGTCGGATATACTGATGTACATTCATAAAAAAAGGACTAATACTGTGCCGCATTGCTATAGATAAACCTCTCTGACCAGGACTCGGATCAGGACCCCTTCCAGTTATGACCCAGAGGGCCAGTTGTAAAGCAACCATAGCACACAATCCAAGAAAAAGAGTGAGCAACTATAGTTATTTCCTATCTACTCATGTTAGAGTAATGATAGTGAAGTTTTCCACACTCCCCGTGAACACTTGATGAAAATTGATTTTAGCAGTTCAATTCAGTTCAACGAACATCGCCAGAAGAACGCCGCATGCCAAAGGACCAGGACTCGCGACTGTAGGCATTAAGCCGCCCTGATGAAATGGACGGGCGCCGCCTGCCAGGACCCCTGTAGATCCAGTGAAGAACCAGGAACTCGTCAGAGCAGGCCCCAAGATGCTATGGAAAGCCGCCTGCCTTGACGTCTGTAGATCGGTCAAACTCCAGGAGCTCCCCAGCGCAGGAATGTCACCCTCAGACGAAAGGACGCCCCTGCCCGGACGCCTGTAGACCCAGACGCAGGCTACGAGGACGTCGGTACGAGCCGCAGCCGAGAAGGACCTGGGCGAATCTGCGAGGATGTGTGGACGAAGATGCTGCCGAGTACCACCTGGTGGAGGACTATGAGGACGACTGAACGACCCAAAGTCAAGGAGGACCTAGGCGAAACGAGGACGTGTGGACATCGATGACGGATGGATGCACCAAGGACCAAGATGAAGAGGCTGACAACGAGGAGATACACAAGGACGACCGAAAACAAGAACGCGACAAGATGAGCAGCAGATTGGGTACGAAGCTAGATCACCCTTGAAGTAATTCAGATGACGCTACGAGGACGAGGCTTGTGTAGGTGGCCGTGCAATATAGGAAGCTATATTCACATGGCTTGGTACAACACGTGGAAGGATCTTCGTAGGCACCCACACTGGCACCCTCGCTGTCTGCTCCACCCTACCCGTGGGACGCACGGACTGCTTGCCAGATATAAGGCCAGATATAAGGGAGGCTGATTTTGACCCATTCTTACACCTCGACGATCCTGCCCCTAACCCGGGTGGGTGACTCACTCCCGGTCGCCTGCCCCACCAGGGCGTGGGGGCTGCTCCACTCATACACTCAGCACTGAGCGCCAGCCTCCGTATCTCGTATCACGTGTTATCAATAAAGTGTGAAGCTACATCGGTGTAT